ACTTTACAATAAACTATTTCACAAATAAAACATTTATTTTCTAAAAAAATGCGACTTCATTGTTTTTAAAACTGTTAAATTTGTTAAAAACAAATTGTGTCATTTAAAGCGCCTAGCAACACGTTGCGCATCAGAAAATTTTATTTCGCAGTAATACTGACTTTGGGTCTAAAAACAAAGATACCGATCACGTAAGACGAGGAGTTAAGTACACTTGTGGTGGCACAGTTTTGGATAAATCTGGTTATTGCCATAACGTTGTTATTATGATATGAGTATTTTGCACGACGTAAATTATGTCCTGTTAAACCATATACCACAAAACTAGGGGGCTATATTTATCAAGGAACATAGGTGACACATGTGCAAAGTTCATTCAAGTCATTGAATGAGTCCCTAAGACTATTGAGATTGGTTCGTCGTGTATGACGTTGTGTGTAATACATCTACATTGCATATACTCACGTGTATATTAAGAATACCAACATCGCTGCAATCAGCCAGACAGGAGAGACGTACAATTCAAATCCCATCACCTCCATGACTATGTTATAATGACTGTGGTTCAGCGGAACTCAAGTAACGATGTCCCCCAGCACAGCCAGACTAACTGCCACATGTGGCAAGGGCTCGTCTTTTATACTTTATATCAGGACGGCGCGAACCGAAGAACATCGGTCAAGCTGACGTCACAATGACCGAACTTGGCTCAGAATGACGGGATCTCGTTTGCTAATTGTATAGCGTGAGTCATCGCCTTAATTGTGTACCAATAAGCAGGTCAATGGAGTGAACCATTTCGAGAAGGGTGGGTGTACTTTTTAGTGGGGTGCGCTTCTATTTATATGAAGATTCACACATAATTGCAATGACCAGTAATATACCACAAGTATATAAATGCCCATTACGGAGTTCAATATATCAGTGAGTCACGTAGGCTACACTAGACACACGCGTCACAGAATTACAGCCGCGGCCGCCATTACGATTCGTATTATTAAAATAAACAAAATATATCTGTCAAGTAACTTGAGGTCAATCAGAGGACATGGCTAGCAACTCCAACGTACGATTATTTTCATTATATGAACATATTTTAAAAACACAGTTTTATTACATTTCATTGTCAAATGTAGCAGTGATTTGTAATGATTTCCGCGAATATGATTACACGTTTGAAAAAGACTGTCTGCGAAAAAGCGTGATTATGTTAGTGTAGAGGTAATGACGTAATGTCTACGATCGTACATCGACGTGCTTGCAGGTGTATATATCAGCAGTCGATAGTTTACAAACAAATACGCTTCAATCAACTACCATGTAAACTGATGTTGGACTTAAGGCAGAAACTATATTTTTGTATTTTAGTAATCTGAATCTAAACAAATACACAGTAATGTGCTCATTTACTAATATATAAACAATGACTTTAATAAATATGATTTTACTTAGTAGAAATAATGTATGTTTCTGCATGAAACGAAATTATTTCACAATGTCGAAAATGGAGTTTATACAGATATTTGGGGACTATGAAATAATATAACCTTGATTTGTATCTTAGATATACGGATAATACTTCACTGCTGTACAACCACACGACCAGTCCTAATATTTTAAAGTTATTACGAGGATACGTCAAAGTATGCACGAAGACAGTACAGCTGGAGTATCGACAGACGCGCAGCGGAGGTCGATGCGCGGCGTACTGTCTGAGTGCATACTTTGAGGTATTCTCGTAATAACCTTATTATTATACATCTTTTCGTTCTTTCCAAGGATACACCATGGGAATGCCGAAATCCCAAATGTTTAGAACAGAGTCAGCGAACATCTTTGTGTGGAGTCCGGTCAAACTATGGTGGCAGCCATGTTTGTTTTTATTATTAGAGGACGTTTACGCGCGTAATCATTCCAA